GAATTGAGAAGAATAGCGCCAAGCACAATTTTTTAATTGGCGAATAGTTCAGCTCATTTGGTGTCATCATTCTCAAGTAGTAAATAGAGTTTTCTTTGCCTTCACTATTCTCTTGAGCTAACAGGACTCCTACGGACCTTTCTTCTGCCGCAATGTAGAGTATCAATGGCTTTCCAAGTATAGAGGCTGCCAAAATTGGAGGTTTCGCTAGATATAATTTGATATTTTTAAAGGCATCGCTACATGTTTGGTCCCAATTAAAAGGAGCACATTTCTTCATGAGATGACCGAATGGTTGGCATCTTCTCGCTAGATTTGAGATGAACCTCCTCAAATAGGTTAACTTTCCTTGGAGACTTTTTAATTCATGAATATTTCGAGGCTCAGGCATCTTCGATATTGCATCAACTTTGGCTCGATCAATTTCAATTCCTCGTGTCTCACAATGAAGCCAAGGAACTTTCCAGAAGTAACTCCGAAGGCACATTTCAAAGGATTCATTCTTAGTTGATATCTTCGGAGCAACTCAAATATCATTCTTAAGTCTTTCAAATGATCACCTCTCTTTCTTGACTTTACCACTAAATCATCAACATAGAATTCAACATTCTTATGGAGCAATTCATCAAATATATTTTGCATAGCCCTTTGGTATGTGGCACCAGCATTCTTTAAACCAAATGGCATTAATTTGTAGCAATAAATACCCTTAGGTGTGCGAAATGAGGTGAGTTATTCATCTATTGGTGTCATGCGACTTTGATTATTTCCGGAGGAACCATCCATGAAAGACATTGCCTCTAACCAGTGGCGGCGTCATCATCAACTCCGAAATGGGAAGAGGGAACTCATCTTTAGGGCATGCATTATTGAGATCCCTGAAGTCAACACAAACTCGTATTTGGCCATTCTTCTTCCTCAGAGGAACAATACTTGAAATACATGTAGGATATTTGACTTCACGAATAAAGTCTTCCTTGATGAGTTTATTAACCTCATTTTCTATCAATGGAACAAGTCTGGCCTAAAATGTCTTTAAGCTTGCTTAACAAGACGAGAACCTTTTTGACTGCCAACTGATGCACTGCTACTTTAGGATTCAAGCCAGAAATTTATTTATAACTCCAAGTGAAGACATCCCTATATTCTTTGAGTATATTCATATAAGCGATTTCTTCATCAACTCTTAGAAAGGCACTCAAGTAAGTTGGCCTTGGGTCTTCATCAGTGCCAAGGTTAACTTCCTTTATGGGATCTATTGTGGTCTTCACTCCTTCTTCAAGTTCTGGTGGAGCATCTCCAACATCTTCCTCTTCTAGAGGATCATTGTCATTGACAAATATATGACAACACCAGACAATATCTTCCAATTCTTTATCAATCTTCGTTTGAGGCAAGGCATCGTGTTCATTCTAGGTTGTAACATAATATGAGGAGCCTACACTTTCTTCATCTTCCTCACGTTCTTGGTGTAAACCACAGTGTAAGTCTTTGCCTTTAGTTCCTCTTTACAAGAAACCACAAGTTCCACTCGTCGCCTCATTCTAGAAGGAATCAAACTTTTGAAATCCTTTTGGTTCATAGATGGAGCCAGTGTTGTCACTTTTGATAATTTCTTCGATGCTTGTTGTTGTTCTTCTTCAATGGACCTAATCTCTCGAACACAGAAGTTCTTGCAGTTGCAAGTTGATCAAAGACGGAAGGTTTTTTATTAGGAGCAGTGACATCATCTTCAACAGTTATATGATTATTGCTTGCTCTTCTTATGGAAATGCGAATTGGCGGCGGTTGGCCTTGCCTAGTTGTGTCTTCCGATGGGAGTTTCCTTAACATTGATGGCTCATTAGGGTTGTATCCAGCCTTCACAAATAACTTGTAAGCATTGGGATCAAAACCTTAATTGGTAAAAGATAGATTACGTATAAAGATAAAATATTAAAATATTTATGGTAATCCTTATTAGTGTCATGCACATACTAAATTTCAAGTATGAATATTTAAGAGAAAAATTATACTTAAATTGTGTCTATCATTTATGTTCATAACCTCAAGAGGAAAGACTATTGGTGACATTTTTTGTATTGATATATTTTTTAAAAATTTGTTGGTTATATTTATTTACAAAATTGAGTGAAGTAAATAATAATACTACTAAAGAAATGTAACTTTCTCCCCATATTTAAACTTTGAATGTATTTTGAAATGTTTCAATAATATCTGGTCATTTTGATCTCAAAATACAAGTAAATTTATGACAATCTGTATTAATCATTTTAAAGCACCCTATTTTATGTAAATTATAATTATTTTCTAAAAATCTTTAATTTAGTAATATTAATTTTATTTTGCAACATCGTATACTATATATACGATATACACGTGCAACAAATGTGTCGTGAAACTAACATATATATATATACCAACATGGGTTGTGATGCACTGGTGGGAGTGTTTCACCCTTAATCAGAGGTCTCGGGTTCGAGCCCTGGGTATGGAGAAAATCTTGTTGGGAGCGCCACCCCCGAATGGGCTCTGCAGTGCGCGATCCGAATTTAGTCGAAGCTCCAATGTGGGATCCGGACACCGGGCGAGAAACCAAAAAATATATATATTAGAAAAATACATTCAAACAACTAAATATTATTTGCAAAGTTATACCCAAACACAACTCTATTTTCAACTCTAATTTTAAACAATTTTTTTCGGTAAAAAAAAGAATTTAAAAGGGGAAAGCACTACCAAAAAAAGAAAGGGAAAGCACTTGAAGACAGAGAATGAAACAAACTCAGCTGAGCTCGAGAAAATGATCAAAATGATCCTTAATATATGGGGGTTGCTTTATTTTGGTCCTTAATATAATTTACATGATCAATATAGTCCTTAATGTATTATAAAAAGTGCTCAATTTGATTATTTACCCTAAAAGTAACAAATTCATCAAAAAGTTCTGTTAAGTATAACACTAGTACTACACTAAAAAAATAAATCCAAACACTTTTTCCTTCCCCTTCAATTTCTACGTTTTCCATCAAAATCTCTGGTTCAAAGAGCTTGTGCTGCTTCTTCTTCTTCTTTTTCCGATTCCGCCATCATAAGGAACTTTCCTCTTCTCTATGAATAGAAATTGTCAAAAAGAAAATATTTTTCTCTTCTAAGTTTATCCTTTAAGTTCTAATTTTCAAAGCTTTTCCAATTCAAAAGTGATAAATGAACTCTAATAAAAGCAATATTTGAAGTCTTTTATTATCATTGTTAAGAAAAATCGATAATATTTAAAGTTAAATACAAAAGCTCTAATCAAATCCCCTATTTGAAATTGATCCACGATCAATATTTGTGATTCCAAAATTCATAAAAAAATTGAGTGAAGCTGAAAGTATATTGGAAGTATTTGAAAATGGACAAAAGCTATACCCAAATTGTGAAATCTAAAAACCAAATGTTACCTTAATTTGGGGTTGATTCTTTGCCACAAATCACTTTTTTGATAAATATTTTTGGGAATGTCAAAGACAGTAGAAATGTTTTTTCACTGCTATATACAATGAAATTTGAAAGAGATGAAGAAGGAGAAAATTGGGCAAGCTTTTCAGCTATGGCTTAGAAGGGGAACGAGAAAGTTTTTGAATTTATTTTTTAGTGGGACCCAAGGTTAAACTTAACAGAAAATTTTGATGAATTGTTACTTTTAGGGCAAAAGATCAAATTGAGTATTTTTTTATAATACACTAAGGGGCCATTTGGTTGCTGGTTAGAGTTATGCAGGTATTAGTAATGCAGGTATTAGTTATGCAGGTATTAGTAATGCAGGTATTAGTTATGCATGTATTAGTTATGCAGGTATTAGTTATGCAGAGTTTAATTATGCAGAGTTTAGTTATGCAGAGTTTAATAATTTTTTTGGATGTTGGTTTGTTATATTAAAAATTAATAAACATTATATACTTGTTAAAAATAAATTATTTGTTATTGTTATATCTTAGACCTTTCTTACCATTGTATTTTTATTTATTTTTTGCGTTTTGCTTAGGCAAATTTTTGGACAGAAACTTAAATGCCACATTTTTCAACTTCCTCATATAGTTGAACCGATGTATATATATGATACGTGTTAACACGGGACCAATATTGTAATAGTTGAAACTTATTGATATGCTAGTACATATAATTATGTGTACATATAACAAAAATAGATACATATAAGTTAACATCTGAGCAACACCGCGTATTAATGCTAGATATTATATTTGGAGCCTTTACTTCAATAATCTATAATATAGAAATGAGGAAGTTTGTTTTTTTCTATTGGATAAAGGATATCATATTTACAAAAGTCTTCGCAAGAACTAGTGGAAGCTCCAAGAGAGCTTACTTCAAGCAAAGCCATTAATATGCACATTGGTAGTTATGACTTACTTCCAATGGCAAGAACCATTGATAGAGGATGCTTACTTCCAACAGAACAATCTATTGTTGGACACTATCCTCAACAATTATCGACATTGTCCTCACCCATAGACAATATCCCCAATAATTTGAATGTCTACTTAATTTTCAAAATAATAATGGAGTACATTAAATCTAAATTTCAGTTTCGTCATACTAAATAATTCATTCAGTTACAATTTTCACATACTGCCATACCCTAAAATTGAGAGTCCATTTTCAAGCAACAAAATAGTGACAAAATAAATTTTATAAGATGAAGAATACAACAAATCTAACATAAACCATTGAGACAAACTTGAAATTCTAGTACCGTGGCCTCACGGAATCAAACTAGACCCACCTTCATTAAACGTGAAAGAAACTTACATAATTCATTGTTAAATTATATAAACTGGCACATAAAACATAGGCAAAATAAAACTTAACTAGGCCATGGTTATACCTTACAAAGTAGCTACACCAAAAACCATTCAAAGGTTTAAAGTTATAAAGATTGATTTCCCAAAAACAAAAGTGCATAAGCACACCAAAAGTGACCACATAGTTTAAAATTATAAAGATTGATTTCCCAATCTTTCATTCCACATAGATTGAGCTAGTTCATCCCTCCAAGTGGTCCACTCATCAGATGCTTCAATTGTATTAATATTGTCATGTTCATGTTGATTCTCCATGTGGAATTCCATTTCCACATCTAATGGGTCAGCTTCCATCTCTCTTCGAATGAAATTGTGAATCAAACAACATGCACTAATAATTCTATTGTGAACCTTAACCGAGTACCACGAAGGACTTCTAAGAATTTCCCAACGTCCTTTTAATAGTCCAAATGCTCTTTCAATAACATTACGCGCCCTAGCATGCTTCATATTAAAGAGCTCTTCTCGACATTGAGGTGACGGATTGTCACCTTGCCAATCCTTTAACCAATATCTATATCCTCGGTAGGGAGACAAAAAACCATTTCCATTTGTATATCCTCCATCGCACAAATAGTAATTGCCTAAAAATGTAAACAATAATATAATTACTTTAAATATTATTTTATTTTGATGCAGTAGAAATAGACAAGATCTGCCTATTATTTAGCATACCCTAAGGTACTTTCAACCCATTTCTTCGTACAACAGCATCTCGCAATACGCGACCATCAGCGGCTGATCCCTCCCAACAAGGTAATACATAAATGAATTTGAGATTTCTATCACAAACCCCCAAGGCATTAGTTACTATATCTCCTTTTCGTGTTCTGTATCTTGGCTTATATATTGCTCCAACTCTAATGGAAATGTAAGTACCATCCAATGCACCAAGACAACCCTATAAGATAAATTCAACTCTAAATACTAAAGGACTATTAAAGTAAAATACTTTCACCATAATATTTCAAGTTTGTTGTAGTAAATCAAATGTTAGATTGAAATTTACCTACCTTAAACCATTTCCATCGATCATCAGTATCATCTTCGAGCACCAGATTAGGTTTAACAAGTAACAATGGAGTTAGTTTAAGAATAACTCTTAGACATTCATTAAAGGCTCGACTTACACACCACCCCGATCTAATATAATCAACTTTGACAGACCTGTTCTTTTCGTGATGAGCCAAAATATTTAAGAACATTGCTAATTTTTCAGTACTCGACATATTTTTACTATCAGTCAACCCGTTGACTCCAATATTCTTGGCTAAGGAGGCCAAAATGTGAAAGGCATTTCTATCCATCCTAAGCTTGTCAATACATACAATATCATTGTCACGAATGAGAACATTTAGATGAGACAAGATTTTAGGAATTCTAGCACTCATACAATATCGAATGACCCGTCTATTTCTAGATTGGTTTCTTAATATCATGCTGTAAATAGCCATAAAAAAACAAATAAGGACAATATACGAATGCACCACAATCTCCTCGAGGATCATAAAGCATTCAACATCGCACAACTGCTGAGAATCCATTTACACCTATTTTCCATTTAAAAATTGCAATATCATTATCAAATTGAATCCAAAAGAAACAAAAGTATCAATCATGTTACTTAACTAATTATTGCAGACACATTGTGTATAATAGGAAGGTAATAGATGGTTTCATACTAGAATGTTCAATTTTATTTTTTAAAAAATTGAAAAGTAACATTGAAAAACAGGGTAAAATGTTTATTTTTGTTTGGCTTCAATAGCTAGAATACTAATACTATTTTGTCAAACTGCAAATAACATGTTCATCTTTTGCAATTTTAGAAGCTAAAACAACTAAACTTAATGAACCCATTTTTCAGAAAGCACGATTTTTGAACAAATAAAACAAAATCCACATCAAATTTGGATGTACTAAAACATCAACTTAACTAGAAAATACTGAGAAGATCTAGAATTTCATTCGTCTCTCATCAGATTAACAAGAGGAAAAAACACAAAAAAGAGAAAACAGGAGGAGAAGAAGAAGAAAATAAAACAAGATCAGCCAAATTTTGAGTTTCAGAACTTCTAACCTCAAAGAAAGAACGCCAGATTGAAAGTTTTTCAATCTATTGGCCTGGAAGATGAAGAGTCATTCTAGATCTAGAGATATGGAGAGTGGATCTAAATGTTTTTCTTAAAAAGAAAGTGGTGTATATTTGATTGAGAGTGAAGGGCAAAATTGTCAATTTATATTTTTATTCAGGTATTAGTTATTCAGGTATAACTTATTCCATTTTTTACCCTGCATAAAATAATACATAGATTGACTCATAATTTAAACATGTATTAGTTATGTGGTTTTCTAATTTTCTAACCAAACATAGTATTATGTGTGTTGAATTTTATACTTTGACAAAAAATAGCTACCAAACATAGTAAATCTTATGCAACATTTTATACCTGAATAACTCAATCCTTATCCAGTAACCAAACAGCCCCTAAGGACTATATAGATCATGTAAAATATATTAAGGATCGAAATAAAACAACCCCATACATTAAGGACCATTTTGATCATTTTCTCGCTGAGCTCCAACTAAACCAAACTAAAAAAATAAACTACCATAACCTCCTGTCTTCCCACTTGAGCCATGTGAGTCTCCCATGGCTTCTCCATCTGCTTGTACACATTCCATTAGCTCCCCACTTCACTTCTCCCCATAATCCTCTCTCTCTCCGTGTTGTATACTCTTCTCCCCCGTTCGATCCGGACAATGCCCGACACAAATGGAGCTCCTAATTCCAATCCCAAACCAAACCCTAACAAACCGGAGAGACCTCCGTTGCTCAAGAAATCCAAAATCATTGCCGACAACACACTCGCCGGCCAACTTTTCCCCGCTGTTCGCCGTGTCTCTTCTACTTCGCCATCCTCCTCTGAATCTCATACCACTTCCGCGACTAATGATGCAAATTTTGGATTTGGCGATCGTGACTACGTTTACCCCTCTTTTCTTGGACCGCATACTACTAGGAGTAGAGTCAACGTCAAGTCAACTTCGAAATCCCAGAGGAATCAGCTCGACTTACCAGCTCGTAGCGAGTCTATGCCTTCCAATTTGAGTTGTGAAGCTAAGGTGGAGTCAAAGATGAAGCCCAAGCCCAAGCTGAAAGCTGAGAAAGATTTGAATGCTTTGTCAATTCAAGTCTCAAGTTCAGCTTCTTCGGCTTTGTCAGGGTCCAGTTCAGCTAACTTCTCCAATGCTCGAAGACCTTCTGCTCATAGATATTCGTGGATTCTTCTTTTGGTTGGTGTCTTTATGATTTTCCCATTCTAATTCCCGTTTCCATCTCTCTTCGATTTAAAAACCAAAAAGACATGCAGAAAATGTGAATTTTGCAATTGATTGCTTTTGGGTAAAATTTTAAGGGAGCTAATAAAATGTTACACAGTGGTACAGTACTCTCTCCGTCCCATTTCATACCCCTGTGTTTGACTGGATACAGATTTTGAAATGTTAATTTTGAGTTCTATATATTATGTTAGCGATGCCGGAAAAACAATTAAAGTAATTGTTGACAGGCTGGTTTGGTAAAGATTGCCTCGAGGTTTAAAATTTGAATAGTTTAAAGTATTTGAATTTTTTAAAGTATGAAATTTTATAGAAATGAATGATGTCAAACATTTTGAGACGTACCAAAGAGGAAAGAATGTTATATAAATTGGACAGTGAGAGTACATAGTAGGATAGTACTATGTTTTACTTTTTTGGTGAATGGGAATTTGTTGCCCATCCAATCTCTTTTTTTTTTTTTGGATAATGAATGCCCATCCAATCTCTATTTTTTATAAACCTTTCTGATCTCAATGCATTGGTTTTTTGGTTCTTCTTGATATGTTGATCAATTATTTCCTTTTATTGCAGCTTAAGTTTCTTTGTACATTATCTGTATCTCACACATTATATTTGCGGAATGAAGTCTCTAAACTTCAGGTATGCTCTCTATCTCTATGAACACTGTTCAAATCGGGAATTCTTTTCACTCTAGTCTTTGTTTACATATAGTTTTCAGTTGCTGCTTATTAAAAGAAAACCCGAATACTATGTTGCCCAAAAAAAATAAAAATAAGAAGAACCACTGCTTATTGGAAGAAACAGGCATATTAACCACTCAACTTGTACTCAAATTTTGATCTCTGTTGTAATTAAATAGTTGGTTCTCAATACATCAGTTGAAGGTGAGGATTGATTTATTTGCAGGAGGAGAATATTAGTCTTCGTAGAGCTTGTAGCCATGTTGATCTTGCCAGCGCTGGTATCATGGAGCTTGAAGAAGTTAATTCATTAGTGTATTTTGGTAATGCTGACAGCAGAACAGTTGCTCTGTACATGGTGGTGTTCATCCTCGTTATTCCTTTTGCATTGTACAAATATCTTGACTATCTTCCGAGAATAATTGATCTCTTGAAGAGGAAATATACCATAAAGGAGGAGGTTCCACTGATGAAAAGGATTGCATATGTGGTGGATGTGTGTTTCTCAGTTTACCCTTATGCAAAGCTGCTTGCACTTCTTTTTTCCACTCTCTTTCTAATTGGATATGGTGGATTGGCACTTTATGCTGTTGGTGATGGCAGCTTTATTGAAGCTATTTGGCTTTCTTGGAGCTTTGTAGCGGACTCTGGAAACCATGCTGATATGGTTGGTGCAGGGCCAAGGGTAGTTTCAGTTCTGATAAGCTCTGGAGGCATGCTCATATTTGCTATGATGCTGGGGCTTGTTTCAGATGCTATTTCAGAAAAAGTGGATTCTTTAAGGAAAGGAAAGAGTGAGGTGATCGAAAGTAATCACATTCTTGTCCTTGGATGGAGTGATAAATTGGTAAGTCTATAGCATATTGCTTAAAATGATACGACTCTTTGATGTATTATCTGAATTTTGCTCTATATTTGGGCAGAAAAAGTAGATTTGGATGGACATACATTAGATATGGGGTGTGGGTAATCTATAATCCATTCTATCAATATGATCCATAAGAAAGTTTAATCCAGATCCATCTACAGTCCATTTGATCCAAACAGTAATGAATCGTTGGATCTAAATATATACAGCCACACATTGACCTACATGGCTGTGCAACAAGGTTGTACTGTTGGACTTAAATCTTCCCTCTTGGCTTGTCAATAATATAATCTAAGTTGTTAGTGAGATTTATTCTTCATAGATGATAGTTTGATTCCAGGAATATATTTTATTTCTAGTTAGCGCATTTTCAGCTGCTAACTGAACTTTCTATTTTTCTGTCTGCTTGATTCTTTTCCTACATGACAAGTAGAATGAAATACTTGAGTAATGGTGCTTTTGGCAAGGTAAATAAGCTTGATATAGGTTTGACTTATAAAATTATTGTACTTTATATTAAAAAGGCTTGATATAGTTTTGGTTCTTTATTAATAATGAGTAAAGAGATGAAGAGAGAAAAAAATAAATTAGCAAAACTACTCTATATAGGAAAGAACAATTTTTAATTTCCATTGCCTTCTCAATAATCCAGTAGAGTGAAAATCTGCAAATTGTTTTCAATAGGCATTGCAAGTAAGATAGTACCATTGATTCTTGAGAGATCTTATTGGAGAAAAACAAAGACATACTTCTAGAATAGCTTTCAGGTCATACTGTTTGTTTCTGTTAGATGCAAACATCA